TTGTCAGTAGAAAAATCCAATTAAAGCTGCTATGAATTATACCTATAACTGCTTAGATTAGAAAATTATAAATAAAACATCAAGTACATCCTAATAAAACAATTTGTTTTGATCACTAAATGTATGAAATTCATATTACTAATCTAATAAAATCTTTTCACACATGAACGGACATTTTTCTTGTAGTTGACAAAAGCAAACCATTCAGTTTTGGAAACTTCATTCCCTTTAAAATGTAACTGCCCATATTTGTTTGGCTAATGAGAATGCATTAAGCCTATAATAGTCATATCTTCCATTCCCTTTTGATTGGTTTTATTTGTAAACTGACATCCTTTGTATTAATTTGCATCATATGTTTTACAAGGAAGTATGTTTAAACAAAGCCAAAACCAAGTTAACAGACAGAACCATTTAACAAACATCCTTTGTCTTGTTTCTTTAATCCTATTATCCCTTACACTTTTAAAAAATATACCTTCCAGACATAGCCATCCAAATGTCTCACTGCATCCAGAGACAATTAGAAAGAAAAATTGAATACAGTGTTCTCCTATCTTAACGACAAACGTTCTATTGTTGTTTGCCTACTTGGTTATTTACAGTTCAGATCCTGGAAGTTCACTGTCTATGTAAAACATCATTCACATTAATTCATTAGGAAAGATGAATCCCAATAATTGGGTATTATATTACCTTTCTTTTAACATTTCTGATGAGCTTTCCAGAAAAGCCTAGGAACCCAGAAGTTCTGTTATTACTTTGCAATGAAGAAAGAGGGATTCATAATGATGATAGAGGTATTATCAACAAAATAATTTGTAAACTCTTTTTTTTTTAAAGGTGACTAAACCTATCGTCGTCATAGGTCATAAAATAGTGAGAACGGTTATGAAAATATATTAACGTGTCAATATAAATTACTCTCATATTAATTTAACTTTCTTTTCCCCCCTATTTTTTAAAAATTATAAATATAATACAACATGAGCTTTAAAAGTAAAGAGAACTTATTAAAATTACATTAAGGTGTTAAGTTGTTCAGGAGGCAGCATAAACACCTGGAATTGGGCTTCTACCAATTCCTAACTCCATTAATCTCAGCCTGTCATATTTCACTTACATTGAAGTTATAATTCCCATAATTTCCCTCTAGCATAACCAGTGGGAGAAATTGTAGGTTAACATATTTGGAAGATACCAGATTGAGAAATATTGCACTTCTTGATTGCTTTATCTTAATGCAACATTGATCATACTTCCTGTCTTCTGCAAACAAATGCATATGTAGCAGTCTCTGGGCAATTCTGAGAGTTTTCTGTGGATTGAGCTAATATTAGAAGTTAAAAAAACCAAAGTGTCTCCTCTCCCTTCCTATAAAGGCTTGTTGTACTAAGCCTTCGTGTGATATGCTTGTTTGCAGGTTGACATGCATAACTGTTAACTTCCTCAAGGGCAGAAAAGTTCAATAAACAAAACAAAGAGAGTATTTTACTATTTTTTTTTATTTTACTAATAAAATGTACATTCACTTTGTTCCCTTCCTTGAAATGGCTTGCCCAATGCAGCTTGCAACATATAAAAAAACATAAAACCAATCATAAAATGTATTTATAGCACTTGAAAGAATGCAGCATTAAATTGGCATAAATACTTTTGAATGTTATTTATAACTGTATGAATAAAACTTCATTTTAATAACAGGCTTCCAATATCATTTCAGATTATGACTCTAGTGGCATTTGCAGATGGAATTTTATTGCTCAATAGAAGCAAAATTCAGCCTGTTAATATAGGAATGAACCAATGAGATCAAAAGATGATGCAGCCTATGTAGATGTCTGCTAAGGCTTTCTTTTTTCTTCACACCATCTTTCTGTCAGCAGGTGACAGCGGGACTTAAAACCATCCATTGAACTAGCTTGGATTACTGCATTTGAAGAAGCAAATGGTAGAAATCAAGAGCTCTTCAACTGAAGAATTGGTCTTGAGTGTTGGGGTCAGAGGTTATGCTCTTGGGCTCCTGTAGTAGCTTCTGCATGATAATATGTCAGGAAGTAATTTGACACTTGAACAGCTCTTGTTGGTCTTTTGATCTGTGTCTAGCTTTGCTCTCTCCAGAATGGCTGTGCTGTCAATAAAAGATAGCTAACCATTTTTTTACTGCTTGACATTCCCACTGCATACAGTATTTATGCTGAATGGAGCTTTTCTCTGGGAGAAATTTATTGCAACTGGGTCATTGGTCAATGGCAAAACAACAGCTCTCCTGAAGGAATCATGGCAGAAGTGACCTTTCGATGACTGGGGTTTATTTCAATAGAGTGGTTGTTGGTTGTATACCTGCCTAGTAGGAAAAAAAATTGCACGAAACAAAGATCCCTTTATTGGTTGGAACAATCCACCTATGTATGAAAAGCAAATATTAAGGGTCAAGCCATTACCCTGAAAGATAGCTTAGTATGCAGGAAGCTATGATGTCTGGACAAAATAAAATTAGGACAAATTCAAATTGGAAATATGGAATGCAGTAGAGGGTGCTTAAAATAATTTAATAGTCTTTTTCTAAAATCCATGGACAGTAAAGTTTGGGGGTCCAACTCACAAGTGAGCTACGGGACATAAAAAGGCAAAAATTATTTTATGGCACAGTCCCATGGACCTTTATTCAGAAGTTAGTCCAGCTATGTTCAGTGTGATTTAATTCCCAATAAGCAAACGTAAGATTGCAAGCTCATTTTCTAAATGTAATTAAAGGAAATTGTTTAGTTGTAGGAATGATAACCTCTTCTTCACAGGCAAGAAGACAACAATAAAAATAATTTGTCCAATAATTTGTAAACAAGTGCGCTGACTACTCTGAGCTGTATATCAGAATAATGTATTCTTTGGATAGTTAAGGGTCACAAGTCCAGATTTTTCATTATGCTGTTTTAAATAAACAATATTGTGGTTAAAATTTTAAATTAAATCCAGGTGGAAAATACTAACTTACTGCACCCATATTCAATTACAATATCTCTGCGTGATATAGTTCCAGAATTCTTAGATACAGTATTCTCATTTTCTTAATGAAGAAAAATGGAATAAATAGAAAAAGAAATGATTTCATGGAATTGCTTATACCTCATTCATCTCATATTTCTGCGGGGTTGCAGCTTGCTTGGAAGGGTTCAGGTGTGTGCAAAGGTTCCCCTCAGAAAGCAATCTAGTATTTATGGAGATAGCTCTTCAAGAATGATACTATCAGCAGGATTTAGAGAAGGAGAGGCTGCTTCTCAAATGTTAAAGTCTGTGCATGGAAATAACATGTGAATAGAGCTATATGGATGGCATTTGCCATAAATATAAATTTCAAAAAACCAAAAGAACCAAGGAATCTGTCCCCAGAGAATTAACACTGAATTGGATTAAATACTCACTGTTATCTCAATAAATTGTAGAAATAGGTTGCAAATAACAGAATGAAAGTCAACAGAAACAAGTACATAGTTTGCCTTTTGGGAAACAACATGAAAATACACAGGAATAGGTGTGTCATGAAGAATATCCGGTTTGATGACAGTGCATAAGAAGATAATCTTGGAACGGTAGTTGATTTCAAAGTAAATATGAGTCTGTAGTATGATGTGATTGCAAGGAAAACAAATGCACATTTAGGCTGCATCAACCAGATTTATCGTTTTCAGTTCAGAGACAGTAATTGCTCAGCTATATTCTGATTTTGTTAGACTTCAGCTTGAATCTAGTTCTGAGCATCACGCTATAAGTAGGATTCAGAGAAATTAAGCAGATTCAGAAAAGATCAACGAAGACGATCAGAGAACTAAAATGTCTTATGAAGAAGTTGCTGAATATGTTGGGCCTTGAGAAAAAACTGTGGGGTGATTGAGATATGATAGAACATTTTAAATACATGTCAAGATGCGAACTTATTTGCTGTTATTTCAGAGTTAATTTAGAAGGCAGATTCTAACTGCATATTAGTAAGAACATCCTAACCGTTTAGAACCTGTTAAGATTTCATAGTTGGATGTGTTCAAGCAATGGCCCTTAATATATGAGATGCTTTACATGACTTTCATTCAAATTTTATATGTAAAAGAACCTTATTTCTAAAGTTTACTGTCTAGTTCATTTTAAGTTTCAAGAAAATCTGTTTAACTTCGGAGAACAATTATTTCCTTCAGTGGAGTATTGTAGTGCCTGGAAAAAGAAAGCCAACAAATCTCTATTAGCACAACTCTTAAGTAATATTATTTTGTTTTTTTACTTTAATAAATAATAAGGTGGAATATTTATTTTCTATATCAGGGATAACTAGTTCAATTCTAGTTTTTCAAATATTTTATAAGCCTGTTTATACTTTTTATAAGATAATCAAAAATATTACCTGCAGATGTCATTTATAGTATATTTTAGATACTTTTGCATTTGTTAACATGCTATGTTAATCTTTGGCTAATGTTCTGGGTTCACTTAGCTAGACTGGCAGGCCTGGGAATCTATACTAAGACCAAAATGTGATTATTGCTGTTAACGTATCCAGATTATATAACCTGTAACCATATCTGTATTTTGGGACATTCATAAATCAAGCATAGATTTCACAGATGACTGTGCAATTTTCAACAGCTCAACGATAGCGTTGAACTTTGGCCAACAAGTTGAGTATCTATAGTTACTTCATTTAATACAATATTCTTGTATTAATACATTTTATTCAGTCCCAAAGGTATTTTTCCAAAAGGCAACTGGATTTTGTTTTTCCTTGAAGATTGAAGAACCTTCTTGAATGAGAAACAAAATGTCTTCAAGGAAAAACAAAGTTCAGTTGCCTTTTGGAAAAATACCTTTGGGACAACCATGGCCTGGATGTCTAAGAGTCTCTATAGACATGTACCTGATTCAGATAGATTGCAATTAAATTAGGTACAGAGCTGCCAATCATTTTTCAAATAATTTATTATTAAAGTAAAAACTCTTACTCTCCTTTGCAGGTTAGGAATCTTTGTTATATGGTAACAAAACGAGAGAAAATGAAGCACTCCATTTGTAAACTCCAGGAACAGATTTTCCATCTCCAGATGAAACTTATTGAGAAAGATCTTTATGCAGGTAACTTTTCCTATTGAGACCTAGAAAATCTGTATTCTAAATTATGCTATGGCATTTTCTTTTATTTACTGTATTTTTAAAGAGATTAGTAAAAGTATTTTTAGAAAGAAAGAAGTTGGGTTATTTGACATTTGAAAGTTTTGATGCATTTATTTTGCTTTGAGCAATGTGTGTAATTAAAGCAATGGCTTATGTTTTCAAACAGTGGAAAATTATCCCAATACTTAATTCCTACCTTCAAAAAAATGGATTCTAGGAAGGGCTTCGGCGACAGACAGGAATCCGCGATCGTGCGCGGTTTCTGCCTAGGCTTGCCGCTGGAGCACCCCGAGCCGGCTGGTTTCGGGGCTAAGCCACCCCGTAGACGTGGTGAAGAAGGGGGAGACTGCCAGCAGGGTTGTGGAGAGCTGCATCTCTTCTCAGCTGGTCAAACTCCCTTTCCCGAAGGCGGCAGGAGCGGTGGTCAGAAATGGCCACCTCAAAGAAGTACTCAACCAGAAAAGAACGTGCAGGAGGAAGATAAGAAGTGAAAGTTTTAGCTGACCGGATTAAATTGAAAAAGCAATAACTAAGCTACCCTGGAATTTAAATTTTACAAGAAATAACATCACTCCCAAAGAAGAGTCGGAAGCAGCAAAAGAAAGTGAAAAGGGAAAGGTTTGCCTTTTTTTTTTCCCTTCTCTCTCCTTCCTTATATTGACAATTAAGAATAAGAAATTGGAAAAATCCGCTTTGGCATCAATAGGCAATTAAGCTGAAAATATAACTAAATGCCAAAGGGACAATAAAGATTTCTGGACATTAAAAACTTTTTCTTCTATAAGCAGGAAGGGAGAGAAAAAGAATAAGGGCAGGATCTGGAAGAGGGAGGAGACTGCCTAGACTTTAAATAATCTAAAGTAAAATTTCAATAAGACTTCTAAAAGATACATTTTAACTGAAACTTTGCAACTAAATAGTAACCCCAGGAAGAGAAAGTGGAAAAAAAAGAAAGAGCAAAAAGAAACAGTTTGTGTGTATTTGGATTACTTGGTGACTTTTGGATTTTGGGCTATTATATTTGAATGACTAAAATCAGTCGGGTGGTTGTTTAAATTTTTTACAATGGCATCACTTTTCAATGAATTGAAAATGGAACTTAAAAAGTACAAAGAAGATGCACAAGAAAGGCAGGGTTCCTTTGGCTTCGTTTTTCAATTCTTAGAAATGGAGATTTGGAACTATAAGAAACAACAAGAAAAGACTGCAAAACAAGAAGACTGGGACAAAGAAGAAGCCATCTTTAATGAACAAGTAACTCTATGTGGTGAAGAAAAAGGAAAGGAGGGAAAGAGGATGGAGAATTTAAGACTTAAAAAACAACCAAAGAAAAGAAAAATAATTCAAAAAATAAGTATAATACTGGAAAACAACAGAAAAGGGGAATACGGAAGAGGAAAGTAGAGGGAGAAAGACAAAGGGGTAAAAAGGGGAGGGAGAAGAAGAGAGGGAAGAAGGAAAGGAAAAGAAGTTACAAAGGTCCGGAGCAAGATATAAAGAAACAGGACCTATTTAGAGATAATGGGTGAAAATTTAACTGAAAGTGGGATTCTGTACATGAGATTGTATTGTTATATTTGAAATAGAAATAACTTCAGAAAATTGGAAACAACATATGATTAGAATGAGGGATAGAATGGTTAGTGTAACTTAGTGAAATGTTTGTGAATAAAGTAAATGAAATAAAGTAAGTGAGAAAATTGAATTAGGAAGGAATGGGAATACTTTAATTAGTCAACGTTTTATAAAATATAAGTGAAGAGTGGGGAATTGATTATGGAAAGCTAATAATTGTTCCCATAGAAGTATGATATTTAATTGAAAAGTAACGTGAAAAATCTTAAGATTTTAATGAATTTTAATATTAATGATAGAATTGAATTGGAATGGAATGTTGTTTTAATTATATACATTTTTTTTTAAGAATACTGTGTGTAGTTTAAGAATGTACCAAACAGAATCCAAATGGAAGCTATGTATTATATTGAGTGTTATAACTTTAGGGGAAAGATATAAAGGCATCATACTCCAATCAGTAACTACAGGATAAATTTTATTTAGTGAGAAAAGATAATAGACAATTGAAACAGGACAGACAAAAAATATAAATAAAATGATTTGAATTGAGATGAAATAAATACAATAAAATTGAGGAAATTAAAAGAGGTGAGAAGCTATGTAGAAAATGTAAAATTGTAATAAGATATGGAATAGAATATAGTAATGAGCATGAACCTGAAATTGTGTCTGCACGAAGAAATGTAACTCAGGACTATGCTTTCAAAAAAGATGTTTTAATTGTGTTTATTTTCTTTTTTTGAAAACTCAAATAAAATTTACAAAAAAAAAGGATTCTAAAAATATTTTGACTACGAATATATTGTTAATCTGGAAAATAAAACTATAAAGAAAATTAAGTTGTTGCAAAAAGAATATAACATCAGCATCTCTTTTAAAATTGAAAAATATCAGAGTGGAGGCCCTCTCTTCATTAGCCATCTACATTTCAGAATCCATGTACAATAAATACATTTTTTACAATAAAAAAAATTAATAGAGGTTTATCACATTTATAGGTAAATGCAAATACTTCTTTGTCACAATCATTCAGTTCCTTCTGGATATACTGTTAAGACAGGACAATTCATTTAATTTCATGATTTGGACAAGAACCTGATTATGTGGTTGTACTGACCTTGTATAAGCAAACCATATAACTTCTCTAAAAAGAACATTAAGCAGAAACTCTTAACAAATTTACTGATAGTTAATTTTTGTTTTGTCAACTTAGTCTGGACTGAAGTCTTTGGCAGAGGTTTGATGTGCCATTCCATCTCTTTGAGTTTTTAATGATAATTTTGCCCCAAGGCTGTAGATACTAAAGTTTTAGAGGTGACGTCTGGTTCATTGGCAGAGTTTAGTAACTGTTGTATTTCCTTTTTGGCACCTACTATTTTGTTAAAAGATCAAAGGTTAAATTATAGCACATACTTTTTTTTGTTCCTTTGTGTTTTTAGCTTTATCCTTAAATGAAGTTGTACTTGTACATAAGGAATACCTTCCAATACATAATAGACTAAATGGACAAAAGTCAAGTTTTTAAATGAACATGAAATCAGTACACGTTCTTGAAAAAAATATAATACAGTGCACAGTTGCTAGTCTGAAAATTGTACGTTTTATGTTGTTTTCAAGAATAGAGAACCCAAAACTTAAGCTGTGTAACATCCAGAATAAGCATCTGGCCATTTGGCAGAATATTTATCCAATTATATTTGTGACTTCTCAGAAGCCTCACATGGTTCGGGGTTCTTTAGGACTGTCTGGATTACATTCGATGCTGAAATTTGATCTTGAAAATTTGAGCACTGAAAAATATTTGAGTTTCAATCAATTGAATGCAAATAAAAATTTCAAATTTGCATCGTATTTTGTTAATATGAGATTTTCAGATCAACTATTTTCAAGATTGTAACACCAGAAAAATGATATTTTGATGATAAATGTACAGTCTTACAAGAAAAGCAACTGTTATTCTTGTGGTATCTTTGTAACATATGCTTCTGTGGAGCACAGTTAACTCTGAATTATGAGCTGAGAATGAGACACTGGGGCCAAAACATTATGAAATGAGAAAGTACAACAACAGCACTGTGACATTTCTGTTTATATCCCAAATTGTACCCATGATAAGAACATCTGACACCTCTTAAAACTGTTAAATTAGACTGGTACAGCTAGAAAGACAATGTTGTCAGAGTGATTACAGCTGTGAATGGGTTATTCTATTCTTATCTTGTAAGCGCTGGGGATTACACATGGAAATGTCACAGCCTTACTGCTTACATTTCACAGCCTTACTGTTTACAGTGTTGTCAGGAACTAGATATATAGGTAGACCTTTCTGCCAGAAAAGAATCATAAACTTACGCCTTTAATAAAACTTGCCGGAAAGTGCTTACTTTTCTTATTAAAAAAAGATGCTCATAACAGTAAGCTTTGTAAATATTTCTTCACTTGGATGATAGATAGACAGACAGACCTTGCTTAATGTCTACTCATTCAGTGACCGTTTGAAATTACGCTTATGCTGAACAAGGATTTACAACAATGATTTGTAATTGTAGCCCGCGCAGTCTTTCCACAGTCACATAATTGTCATTTGTGCACTTGGCAAGAAGCTGGCAGTTGTAACATTGCAGTCCCACCATCATGTGATCTCCATTTGCAACCTTAACTGCCAGCTCCCAACAAAGTCAGTGGAGAAGGTGGCAGGAGATTTCAAATGGCGATAATTTGTGAGATGCTGTGTCTGTGCGGGATTCACTAAAAATGGCAACCAGAATTGTAATTGTAAGTTGGCATAGTCACATGAAGTTTCGCTTTACAATTGTGTCAGCGGCAGAGTTTCCGGTCTCATTGGTAACTGAGAACTACCTGTAACCCAGAATCTGTTAAACTTCAAGGCTACTGTGAATTTTATTAGTTATTCTGTACTGTCTTCTATCTATTTAACCCTGTTTATAACAATGTCTGATAACACGATTCGTTTCTGCTTTTTATACATATGTGTGAAGCAGCATTGGAGTACTTTTGAAGGAGAACAATTGTTTGCATAGTTGCTGTTGTTTTCCTTTTAACCTACAAAGGAGCACTGGAAGGTTGCCCCTGAGGGGAAAGAAAACACCATGTTCATGCATGAATTGTCACCCAATATACTCAGTTTAATGGTTTTTCCAATACACACTTTTGGTAAATATAAAAATGCAAGACAAATCTATAATACAAACTTACAATTTAACCTTTTTAAATAAAAAGTCCAATCTGTTTAGAAGTTAGTACAATGCCATCTGTTTAAGAATTCAGCAGATGAACTTTTCCTTTTCTTAATGAAGACTTGACTTCAGTGCAGCTTGGCTTTCAAAAAGAGATGATAATTGTTTAAAAGATCAGCATCAGTG